CAGCATTATCTGATCAGAACTAATGGAGCAGAAGAATTTCTCCAGAGGTGGGCTAAAGCTCTGCGTGGTTACATCATTTGTTTAATCCCGTTGCCTGTAAATGCTCCCGTGGTTAACTGCCAGAACGAACCGTCTTTGCACCTGTTGCAAGAGGAAGCACAAGCCCCTGGGGGTTCATTATCAAGGATCATGTTGCTTCCCGTCCAGCCGAACCGAATGGACAGCCCTGGACGGGGACATTGCATGCCTTGTTGGGCAGCAGGGCTCAGGCCGATGCACCCTGTGCTTCCTGTTGTTTTAGAGCTTTGTTTCTCAGCAGCTGTCGGGTCAGCTCATAAATATGGCTCGAAGGAGACCAGGAGCGGAGGGGGTCGTGTTCTCCTCAGTCATCACTCCTACATTATGAGGAGTGTCTGTCTGAGCGTGCACACACCTCGCATGGGTCTCCAGAGGAGAAGAGCGCCCTTTGAGTCCGTTTTAGAAAACAAAGACGGTGTTAAAGACTACTAATGGTCTATTTGAGGACCGCTGAGCTCCAAGCATGAGCCACGAACTAAAATCAGCTCTCCAACAGAAAAAATATTTTTTGTGTGAATTTTTAGCACAGTTCTGCTTAGACTGTGACCCTGCAGAGTCAGCCAAAAGCCAGGTCAGATTTAGCTCCCAGCAAACGACCGACCCTGAAATATCAATATGCTGTTACGCTCCCACCCCTCCGAATATTGTATTCATTGTTTACCCAGCTCTGACACATACTTGACATGACACACACATGACATTAGGAGCTCTTGCAACATCAGGTATATCTCTGGTAGCAGGAGGAGCCCCTTAGTTTCCTATTCAAGACGAGCAGGATTGCATCAGTGGAGCGTGGCACAGTCAAGTTTTAAAATAAACTAAACTTATGATGATGTTCAGCCTGTAAAACTGAACACTGACTGTTGTTCTTAGGCTTGTGTAGACTCTGGCTTTATGTGACATGTAAAGTTCAGACAAGGTGTAAATGTATTAATTTTAATAAACCGCTTTAGGTATGTTAATAAATAGGAAACATCTTAGTGTTTTTAGTTCTTCAAAAGTAAACCTGCCCATAAAACAACTTGGAACAATCATTGTTGGGTCTCTTAAGTAACATAGAAGTCACTTGTTTTCTTATTTGATACGAGGAGTTCCTTTTTCTGACTTCAGGAGCAGATGTTGGGTCTGCAGGTGTATTTTGTAAGCGTGCTTCATGTTCTTCCAGCCTGCTGTTGCTTTCAGCCTTCTGTCTTCACCGTTCATTCACGGCTGCACTTTGGCTGTGTTTTAGGTTGAGCAGAAGCACGGGCAGCCAGCCGGGTGATCTGAGTGTTTCCTGGCTTTGATGCGATCCGACTGTACCTGGAGCATGTCCACAGTGGGCCTGACTGCCCAGGAGATCTCTTTTCCCATCACAAACCCCTTCCTCCGGGGCAGCTACTGTCACAGCATGGCTGGATCCAAGCCCTCCTGGCCCCCTTATCATCACGAGCCCTCGGAGAAGTGAGTGTTCAGCAGTCGTTTAGTGGAGAGCAATGATTTATCAGACATGACATGTTAATGTTATATGGCTCAGATCAGTTTAAAATGTTGCTTAACTCCCATGAAGTTGCTAATCTGCAATGTAATTATCGTTTCCAGGTTCTACTTTGCTATGGACACTCCAAACATAGATCACAGTTATCGAACACAGCAAAAGGGGCCACCGCCAACTTACGAGAGTAAGTGCACAAGTTTGCTCTGTCAAAATACACTACGTGTTACCGCCAAATCATCTACCAGTGCATGTATAGGAAATGTGGTTGTGTGATAATATAAACAGAGTAGGGATGCACGATATTATCGGTCGATATTAGCAATAAAATTAAATATCGAACATCGGCGATTCCACTAGAATAACTCAACGATATAAAAGGTACAAATTTGCACGGTTCAAGTGTTGTTATTGTGTTAGAGAGAGTAAATGTCATGAATAAATTTGACATTAAACATAATCCAAGTTGAAGTGTTGCATCATTTTCAGCCCCCTTTTTGGCATCTGCATTTGGTAGCAGGTCAAATTAACAAAGATCATGCAGAATAATGTAGTATTTTAATTCCACAGCAGAGAAAGCTATGTAGTCTCTGTAAGTAGGTCTAGGAAAAAAATATTGGTATTGGTATTGCTTATCAGCCAAAAGAGTTTTAGCATATTGGCCAAAAGTCCAATATCGTACATCTCTAAAATGGAGGTTGATGATTTTTCCATAATTTGGTCTTTGGAAAATATTGTGAGCAAACTTTATCCATTAATCCCAATAATGCATAGGTAATGATTGTTTTTTTTTTATGTTATTTTATTTTTTTAGGACACAAACACAGTCCCAGCTCACAGAGATTACCTCCAAAGAAATCCCGGCCCACCCATCTGACCCTGTCCTGCACTGCAGACTCGTCCGCTTCAAGTCCTGCTGATGACGACCAGGTGGTCCCCTCATTCCAGAGGCTCTCATTCAATGAGTACAGCAGCCCACCAGCGACGCCAGACAGATGTTCGAAGCCTCTTCCACCCATCCCCCCACAAACAGATATCTCCCCTGAGCAGGCTATGGACAGTGAGGTAGAATTTTTCACAAATACAGACGAAAGACACCACCTGGTGTCTAGTGTTGACCAGTGTTCCAAATCGTCTCCTTTTCGATATGGATTTCCCAACCGAAGGAGCTTCAGGGACTGTGGGCAAATTAATTATGCTTATTATGATGGTCCTTTAGGACCGCAAAGCCACCATCAGCCCCAACAGCACCATCAGCCGCATCCACCACAGCAAGCGCGAGAACATTATGAACAGAAGCGACCGGAACCACCTGAGCCAGTGGTTTGTCCGAGACCGCAGGACAAGACTCAAAGGAGGCTACGACGTTCTCACTCAGGCCCAGCAGGCTCTTTACACAAGCCCTCACTACGCCTCACATGCCCCAGACGCCATGCCAGCGGTATGGATAAGCCAGAAGTACCACCTCCCATCCCTCCACGTATACTGAAGTCCGGAGACTGCCGCCGCTGGTCAGCAGAGGTCTCGTCTGGGGCTTACAGCGATGAGGACAAACCACCCAAGCTGCCCCCAAGGGACCATTTGTCCAGAGGTAGTTCACGCACTCCCAGTCCCAAGAGCCTACCCTCGTACATCAATGGCGTAATGCCCCCTACACAAAGTTTTGCACCAGATCCGAAATACGTAAGCGGTCGGGTTGGTTTACACAGACAGAACAGTGAGGGCTCTCCCTGCATCCTTCCTGTGATGGAGAATGGTAAGAAGGCCAGCACCACACATTACTACCTTCTGCCTTCTTGTGACTGCCATGCCAAGAGGAAAGTGGATTTAGTTTAGTTTGAAAGGTTCTAGTTGAAGTAGTAGAGGACTCTATTGTTGATGAGCGAAAAACACTTGACAAATTAGTGAAACCAGGCGCTAACAACCGTCAAACTGCTGCTTTTACTTGTTTTGTCTTTGTTTGTTTTTTTGTTTTATACCCCATGTATTTTTAACCCACAGGGTATGTGTGCACTGTATACAGTTACTGGTAAATGTTGGAATAGCTATCACAACAAAGATGCTCCAAGTAGAAACTATCAGACTAAAGATTGTGGGCAAAATTCAACATTGTAGAGCTTATTTTTGATATATTCTTACATGAAATTCAATATTACTGTACTGTTTTTGCTGATAACGTGGTATAATTGAATGGTCCAAGCAGGTCTTGAGCTCAGTGTTGCTCAGTGTTTATGTCTGGAATGATGGGGATGTTTTGCATGATTCACATGGGATTTCTTTGACAATGCTTTTGTATCTTACGAGGACAAAAGGTCAGTAATGTAACCATGTATCACTTAATTAATGAAGTCTAAACCCACTCTCAGTGGATTTTTAACAAAATGAAGGATATTAGTACAATTTTTGCCACTCTGGTTGCTATTGTGTAGTGAGAAAATCATGATTTCCTTTCCTGGACATAGTTTCAGTCAATCAGGCTGACTATGCCGATGTATACATTTGTGTGTTTTTTTTTTCCCACATTGCACATTGTTTCTGGTAGCTATGCATGTTTCCTTTGGAATGTCCGGTGCAGCTTATATCTTGAAGTTATCTCTGGATGAGCGTATTTTGTGTGTTTGTGAAAATGAACAGCAGTTGTGTTGAGGTGATGCCGTGAAGAGTGACTTTCTGCAATCACTTGAGAATCGTTGACAGAACTTGTTACCGTGTGCTGCTTGTTTGCGGCGCACACACTCAATTATTTTCTGTCTGTGTTTAAAGTCTGTTTGGTTGCACAGAAATCAGTTTATTTAATGTGAGTCAATATATGCTATTCTCGGTGAAAATCTCCCAAACGGTTGGAGAAACATAGTTTTTGGTTAAGCTGTGAGTCATTGCTTGAAACAAATTCGCCTCGACTCCTACCTCATTTTGATGTTCACCCCGTATTTTACTTCTTTTTTTTTTTTCCCCCCAATTTAAATTGTTCCCAAAGGTAAAACAAGTAAGGAGTTTTAATGTACAGACAATGAAATCAGCCTCGTATGTGACAAAGTATCGGGTGTCGTATTTCATTTACCCTTTGCTTAAGTCACTTCTAACCAGATATCCATAAATGGAGATTTTAGAACATGCAGATCTTAGATCAGGGAGGTTAGCCTAACCAGTTAAAACACACACATTTGTGAAGACAGTGCAGGGTTTACCTGCCTGACACAGACTTTCCTGTTCTGCACATGCATTCCTGTCTTACGTGATTGCAGTGGGTGTGGTTTGAAAAACTTTGGCTGCTGGCAGCCAAGGATATGTATGAGCTTTACTGTTTTAGATTATTCACAAAGCATCAGGATGTTAAAGAAATTGTAGCACATGTATTGAAGAAAGGTGTTCAGTTTGGGAAACGTAACTGCTAAGGTCAATCGGTCATTGAAGTATACTCCCCACCCCCACCCCCCCACACACACACACACCTTCTCACAAACCTTCCCAACACCATATTTCTTTTGACTTAAATGTTTACATCTTCCACTGTTTAATCTTAAGGTATTCATATGTCTTATTATAAATGATGAAACTGAATGAAGACGAGCGTATCAAGGTATGACTTCTCTGCTGTGGTTAAGACATGCACTGGGAGCGCTCAGTATACTTTGTACAGTATTTAACAATTCCATTTGTTATTAGTTGAAAAGTATGTTGTCTTTTAAAAGAAAGCAAAATAAAATGACTTATTTATGAGCTGGCTTCAGTCTATTTATTCATGTTTTTTGTGTTTTTTTTTTGTTTTTTTCCTTTCGAATCCACGAATCAAGAGTGAACTCTACTCAGCTGCTTGGCCTGTTTTATCACCCACACGCCCTCATGCTGTGCCTTATTGTGACTGGCCTTTATCCAGAGAAAGAACAGCGACAGGTGCACAGTCTGACACTTCCTGGTTAAAATGCAATTTCCTCTTGCGTGACTGCTTCAGTGCTCTCAGAAAAACGGCTTAGCACTCGCAGGTTTTAATGCTTTTATAGCAACGTTCAAAGTGTTTAAATCTTGACTCAGGTCCATGTGGCTGTAGGCTTCGAGCCAGTGAACCACATGGGGCTGCAGAGGTCAAGTAACGATGAACTCGGCTGCAGTTTCAGCTGCTGCTACATATATTGTCCCCCAAGACCTCTCACTGAGGCGCTGAGTTGCGTTCCTGCAGACTCTTGTGTTAATTTATTTTTGAATTATTTTCTTCACGGAACAAAAGGAGGCCAACTACTCGGGCCAGAAACCCTTTCACCTGGTTCGCTCTCAGGTGAGCTGTTCGGAGACAGCATGAGTGGTAGCTATGGCAACAAAAGCGAGACGAGCTGCCTGTTTTTTTAAAGGTCTGTTGGAGGAAATTGAAAAGCAGCCTAGTTTATGAAGAGCCTCTGATTAAACGAAACGTCTTTTGCAGCCTAGTTTGTTTTGGGGCTCTTTCCTTTTACATTTACTCCGGGGACACTGCTACGTGCAACTTTCTACAACTATTTTCCTGCAGACCTGTGTTACTTCAGTCGAATTTATGTGTAATTTAGTGCATGTTGGTGTTAAAATATATGGTTTGAGTAGATAAGATTGTTACTCTCTGTAGACAGCAGTTAGAGCAGTCTCTATGTGGAGAATCAGGAGGAAGTTCTCATGAAGGAGCCATTTTAATCATTCTGAAGCTTATTCCAGAACAGTGTTTAGCTAAGTCAAATCAAATATTTCATAGTAGCGCACACAAGTCAATGGTTAATTACAGTCAGGACTGATTTTGTTGGAGTACAGTCTGTGCTTTCTTGCAATACGTTCTGAGTGAAATGAATGTTGCGAAATGGTCCGTTAAGCGTACCCGCTCGGCACAATAATCTGATGCAAAAGTAATGTGGCGTAAAAATTCACCACAAGGTGATTGAGCATCTATGAAATCTCTGAGGCTTTAGATGTTTCAGAAATTTGCTCCTAAGTAAGGCTCTGCATTGAATAGTTGTTAAACTTATGAAAATGTCTCACTGGATCTTCAAACGTGCATAACTCTGACTGTTGTCTACTGCATACTAACAACTCCACTGTGACGCAGCTTTAAAAAAAGTCTAAAATATCCAGTTTATTCAGAATTTAATTGATGCATTGAACCGAACTTTGTTTTACTCAGCAAATTTTCAGGCCTCGGAGTCCTTGATGAATGACTGATGGTTAGACCTTGTTTTAGAGACAATTTATTACTGTCTTTATGATTACTGTCCCATTAACTGATCACCTCTCCTGGTTTGGCTAAAAAGTTCATGACTGATGATAATCGTTGAATGCGTGTCAATAAGAAATAATTATGTACATCATCAACAAAAAATACTTATAAATCCTAAATAAATCACATTTTAATGGTAACAGGATTTCCTCTCATGCTTTTAAGAATGTATTCTGCATTCTCAAGGCCATCCATCCATCCATTTTCTTTACCCGCTTATTCCATTTTGGGTCACGGGGGTCGCCGGTGCCCATGTCCAGCAATCACTGTGCGAGGGGCGGGGTACATCCTGGACAGGTCTCCAGTCCATCACAGGGCCACAAACAACCATTCACTCTCTCACTCACACCTAGGGACAATTTAGAGTTACCAATCAGCCTAACATGCATGTTTTTGGACTGTGGGAGGAAACTGGAATACCCGGAGAAAACCCACGCATGCACGGAGAGAACATGCAAACTCCACCCAGAAAGGCCCCTGGACCGGGGTTTGAATCAAGTACCTGCTCGCTGAGAGGCAGCAGCTCTACCAGTTGCGCCACCGTGCTGCCCCATTCTCAAGTCGATTATACTAATAAAACTAATTTGATTAAAATAAACTGAATACTGTAGAGACTTCATAAAAGAGCCTTATTTTCTTATATGCAAAAACTGTCATTTTTATCAGTGAACTAATTTAATAAATAACATATAGACCAAGTCGTGTTTTGCTCTTTTTCTATTAGCCATCCTGTTTGATTGATTATTTCATAATAACAACAGGCAATGACATAGCAAAGAACTGAATATATTATACAATGAATTATAAATATGGAGAATACTCAGCAGCTATTTGGGATTAAATATATTTTATTATGAAAACAAGTGAAAAATAAACTCTTTCATCCATACTGTACTCTAACTTACTGTAGAGTAAGACACATATAGCCTAAGACGGTCTAAATGTTTGTCTGTGCAGAAATTTTAGCCCTATATTTTACTTAAAGTTTATGTAAAAAAAGAAAAAATATAGTGTCTGGACTGGATATTTTCAAAATCAACTTATTTATCCTTTTGTTTGGATATGATTTGTCTTATTGTTTGCTGTGAGAGGTAGACGGAGTTGTGAATATTTAACTCAAGCTGAAGTGCTGCTGGTTAAAATTTACTCAGCTCAGGGTGCTAAAAGAAGCAGCACATTCAGTCAATGTAAACGTGTTTGTGTGTTTCTTATCTATGAACACTAGAGGGAGACAAAAATCACTTTATGGTTAGGATCTAATAGCGCATGTAAAAATATTCTTGGGTGCTGTATAATTTCTTTTTTCTTAAATTATTGTAAATGAGAAGCAATTTATTGTTTGGCAGAAAAATACCTGTGCATAATTTAAAGAAAAAAATGAAGCTACTATTGCAGAAGACTTTAGATGCGTTTTTGCTTTGGTTTGACATGGAATATTTTCAGATCACTATTTCACAAACTATTAGAACCTGTAATAAATTACTTGGGTTAGTCTGTTGTTTAATGTCACCATTGAATCGTTCTGCAAAAATAAAAACCTGTATAATCTAATTCATCTCTGCCACCTAGTGATAGCAAACTGTAATGACTCAGAGGGCCTCGGCCTCAGAAGAAAGTTTTGCTTCACTGACAAACAGCTAATTGTTTATGTATTAATTTATCACAAATGCTGACTTTAAAACAATAGGGCTTATCTGACACAGGAAAAAAATCCTGCATGTGAGAGGGTTATATGAGTGAAGAC